CCTGTTTTGAATCCGTGTCTGATACAGTCACTGGAAATTTTATCCCAAGCCAGTAGCATTGTATCTTTTGTAATCCTGGGACATTCAGTAAATCTGTCCATATGATCTTCTCAAGAGTGTTTTATTTAAAATGAATTGGGAAAATGCTTTTATTTCAACACACACACACACACTCACACACTCAAATCCAAATGTGCTGTGTGAACCTCATCTCTCATAACTAGGGAATCTTTTAGATAACCTGTGGGCTGGGGTTGGGACTCTGTGGGACAGCACCTGCCTAGCTTAGCATGCACAAGGCCCTGGGTTCCATCCCCAGCTCCAAAATCACACAGACACACACACACACAGATAACCTGGAATCCCAGCTATTTCCTAGGTATGAGATTTGTGGACACTGAGGTGACACTGGGGTCAGGAGACAGTACCTGGGTGTAAGGGTCCAGTGCCCTGCTATCCCCAATTTACTTTCAAATATTCGGCAAAGGCAGATGTGGCAAAATGCTAGCAAGTGGGAGTCTGGTAATGGTGGAAAGTTGTTTCTTGAACTAAGCTTTCTGTTTTACGTAGCTTTTAAACTTCAAAACGAACGAAAAATAGACAAACGCACAGAAAGCCCCTGATGTCTGTCAGGGAGAGACATCCTCAGCAGGGGTCTGAACAGGTAGGTGACCAGCAAAGATCAAGTGTGTGGGGAGGTGTCAGGTGGCAGTCTTGCTCGTCACGTGAGGGTCTGGAGACAGAGGCCAAGGAAAACTCTTCTAGTCTGTCAGAGACCTGGAGTAGGAGCATTTCTCGGGGGGGACATAGGACTAAGGACCCAGTGGCTTTGTGGGACAGGACACTACAAACAGCCTGCTAAATCCCCAGTGACCATGGACTCTCCCTCCAGCCTCTAGCTCTGTCTTCGAAGTGCCACTCATTCCTTCCTCCTCCTTGCTGTCACCTGTCTGCTGAGGACTTTGCCACACAGCAGGCAGACCTACCACTTACTCTGGAGCTGTGTCCTAGGAATCCAGCCTTCCTTCCTCACCACGTGTCCACTCAAGCCACCAGCCAATCTGAACCTACCCTCTTACTTCACCGATCCCGCTCCTTCACCATACCCTGTGTCCTCTGGGACGTGGGGAGCTGCCAGAAAATCAGGTTCCTAAATCCGTAAACACCACCGGATCTCAGGCCCTACGGCAATTCTTGCTCCTTTCCTCATCTACCCGTGTCCTTACAACTTTCATGTTTCCACTGCTGGAGAGGGAACAGTGAGGATTCCTGGGTTTTTAGAATTCACCAGATGTGTCTACACAAGGGCTGGGATGGAGGCTGGTGTCACTGCCAGGACTCCCTGGTCACCTTTGTGGGCACTGTCCCCATTAACAGGTAGCCTGGGGAGATGGCTCACTGGAAGATACACCAGAAGATAGTTCCTTATACAGGGCCCCAGCTCATGCCTGTGACTTCTGTCTGATGGCCTGTGTTTGGAGCCTTGATCAAATGACATTCATACAGTCTCTCACAAGGCACAGAGTATCCCACCTGCATTCCTCAGGGTGGGAGATGTCACAGCAGCAGCTGCCCAGGCTAACGTGGGGTATGAGGTGATGCCCTCACAAAGGGGGCCGGGCTGTGGGAAGCACAGCCATGCGGGATGCCGGTCCCCCGAATCCCCGCTTTTCCCACACTGCAGCTTTCCAGGTCCCCAGCATGGCTCCCTGTCCAGGAGGGCTTTCCCTGGACAGTCCCAGAGTGAAGCACAAAGTGTGCAGGAAGGCTCTGTCTGCCACATGCCTCTGTCAGTGGCATTTTATTTAACGTGAAAATAAGCAGGAAGATCACTGGGTACAGCAGGTGGCCCAAGGGACAAAGTGAACATGAAGCCTTACCTCCCCTTGGAAGCTCTTCAGCAGCGGTGCTACCTGCTTGCGTAAATCCTGGAGCGAGGCGAGGGGTCGGAAGACAGCCATTGGAGGAGGAAAGAGAAAGGAAACATCATTAAGTCTTCCTGAAAATGCTCTGGGCTGATTATCATCACATAAAGCCATCCCGGCCCTCTCCCGACCTTCAATCCTAAAATCACAAGGCTAACTCCAGAATTTACGCTTGCTTAGGTAAGGGCACAGCTAGATTTTACTTTCAGGAAGTCCTGGTTAGAATGTGCTATGAGGTCAGGTGCAGTGGCTCACACCTCTAATTCCAGCTACTCAGGAGGATAGAGGCTGAAGGCCAGCTAGGGCAAAAAGTTATCGAGACCCCATTTCAACAGACAAGCCAGGTGTGGTGATGCACGTCCATAACTCCAAACTCTTCCATGAGGAAGGCAGAGGTCCAAGGCCTGCAGAAGGCAAAAAGTGTGAGATCCTACCTAAAAATAACTAAAGCAAAAAGGTCTGAGGGAGTGGCTTAAGTGGTATAGCACCTGCCTATGCAAGGCCATGAGTTCAAAACTCTAGTACCGCACACACACAAAGCGCTATTGACTATGGTTTTTGCTGCTGGCCTGGGTGAGACTACTGGCTTAGACTAAGCTACATTACAATGTAGGTTTGATGCTGTTTTGATGTGAAACAGATTTGCATTTTGGCTGCTGTTTTGTGCTCCCTTCATGGGAGATCAGCCTGTTTTGAATCCGTGTCTGA